CCAGTAATGAAAGACTTTGTAAAGACCAGAGTGAAAGGTAGTGCTAACTGAACGAGCTTCTGAAAGGATGAAAGGATGAAATCCATCAATACCTGGTGGTTTGCGCTTGTCCAGTTTGGAGAAACGCAACTCAACAGCAACTCGGGAGGATTTTTCTTCAATTATAGTGTGAATTGTATTGGTGAGTGGTTGGAGAATAGGGAAGATCTTTGCTTTATGCAGAGAAGAACTGTTAGTTTAGCAAGTTGTATATCTCAGTTCCGTCAGATGTTAGCACGCTGTTTTCATTCTCGAGAGCTCTTATATGATTGTTGCAGTTTTTGGCCTTGTTAACTAAGTCATAAAAAAGTCTAGGGTTATCTTTGCATTTGCTTATGATGTTATGGTTGTGTGTGCAAAGGGCTTAATAAACAAGGGGAATCAACTTTTACACTGTAAATGTTTGATAATATATTGATAACAAAAGGTCAAGTGGATTTTTGATAAATGTTGGTTGTAGGACTAATTGAGTAGACAGTCTTGAATTGTTTCAAGGAATGCACTTGCCTACGAATTGGATTTTGTAGAGAATCCACCAGAGCTATTCCATATGATTTCGGGGTAGTTAAAATCTCCAACAATAAGAAGTTTAGTGAATTTCTTTTGCTTAACTAGAATATAAGCTTGACAGATCAAACGGTTGATGATTTTGTTTATTGCAGATTTAGAGCTTGCTGGTCTATAAATACATCCTTATAGAATGCGTTCAGAGCCAATTATCTGGTAGCAAGCAAATATTTGTTCAAATAAATTTTAACACATATCTGCTTGCTACCAGTTCCATTAAGAGTTTTGTCATTTTTGAATTCGAAAGCGCTGAGTGTGTTTTTTGTGTAGACAGTAATTCCTCCTGGGGTATCAAGTAGTTTTCAATTAATAGTGGCTTATCTGGATCAAACCAGGTCTCACAGAAACATCTGGATAGTTTTTTCTAAACAAGTAGAAAGTTGAGTTCATCGAATTTGTTCGAGAGCAAGGTCAAATTTGTGTAGAGGCATTTTAGTAATATAGGAAAAGATGAAATATTGAAGCTGATAAGTTTGGTAGTTTGTGGATGCTGGATTGAAGAATAAGCCTGGAATTTTTGGCTTAGCTGCATCATAAGCAGCCTTCCAGTTGCCGAATGGGTACTTCTCTGTGCCATTGATAAAGAATTATTTGCGGCAGTATTAGTACAGCGGACTTGGTTGCCACAGATAACAAATCGAAAGGGCTGGTTGGTCATCCATGGCGACCAAGTCCGCTGTACTAATAATACTGCAAAAAAAGTCTTTATCAATGACACAGAAATGCACATTCAGCAACTAGAAGGCTGTTTGCAATGCTGTCAAGCCAAAAATTCTAGTCTAATTCTTCAATCTAGCACCCACAACTACCAAACTTATCAAATTACAGAAGCAATAAATGGTTTTTCATAATTTTTGTATAATAGTAAGTAATTCTATATACTTTTTAAAATAGTCCCTTTTTTAGCTCTTTGTCAAAGTATAAAATCTTGGGATCTTTTTTCCCTTTTGCATGTGCATTCAATGTTGACTTCGTTTTTAATCAAAACATTGAATGCACATGCAAACATTCTGAAAAACAGTTTTTATGACACAAATTTTTAAACATGTAACAATATAGCAGTTGCAATTCAGTATATCAAACAACCTTTCATGTTTAAAAACTGTAGACCAGACCATATCTAAAATGATCTTTTAGTGTAGGTAACTCCAATACAAACATATTATTTATAAAAGACATTAAAGCAAAAATTCTTCATTCTTTTTTTTTTAACAAAAAACCCTGTTTTTTATCTTTGTTTTTAAAACATTTTAAAAACCAAATAAACTTAATATTAATCATTTATATTTGCATTTTTTATACAATTTTATATTATTCATTTTACTAATTTAAATGTATTAAAATATATATTAAATTTGTTTCTTTAAAATTTTTTTCTAATAGATAAGCTATGCTAATAGAAACCAGAAACTTTTTTACTTCAAGGTTTTTTGCTTTAACTACCTTGAACTTTTTAAAGTTATTAACTTTTTAAACTTATTAAAGTTTACTTTGATTTACTGAATGGATAAAGTACATCACAGTAAATTTACTTATAAACTAAATCAAAACAACCAATAACTTACAGTTTCTCAAAAGTTAACTTATTAACTATATTAATTTACTTAATATACACAAAGACTCACAAAAGTTAGCCATACAAATGTTTCTATCTTATATCTTATATCTTATATGTTGTTAACAATAATATAAGCTTTTAACTAAAAATTATTATAACAAGAAATGTCGAATAGAATATGAAAAATACGATACCATTTTTTTATACTTAAATTTTATGTAAAGCAATATCAAGATTAAACATTTTCTATAAATACTCAAGCTGTTTTAATGATTTTTTTAAAAAAGAAATTTATTTGAACAAAAGAATTCTTCGAAAAAAAAAGCCTTCTAAAAAGCTCTCATTCAAATATTTTTGCGATTAAATTGAAATAAAAAAATTTAAATTAAAAAAGAAAAGAAAAAGAGATTAATTAAAATTTAAAAATTTTTAATGTTTAATTATAAATTTAATTGCAGCAGCGTCCGTAAAACCCAGTGGAATAGCGAGGGTCCTTCCTGAAAGTTAAATGTATATCTAGCTAAAGTAAAAATATCAGAGTTAGAATATAATGCAAGTGAAGAAGAAAATTTGATTTAAATTGTAAACATTTTGAAAAGTAAATTTTTTTTTGTTTCTTGAAAATAGTTTTTAAAGTAGAAACATTTTATTGCAAAAATTAAACCAGTAGTTATTGCAAATGTTAAACCAAAAGTTGAATTTTAAAAAACTTAAATTGAAAAAAAAAAAAATTATTTTACTTCTGTTCAAGGAAATTTTTTTACAAAAAAATAATTTAAGCATATACTTAAACTAAATAAAATATAAATCGATTTATAAAACCAAATTTTTTTCTCAAGTAATAAAAGAAAGACACAAAGTTTAAGTTTGTTTTTGTTACAAAACAATTTAAATTGAAAAAATTGACCAAAAAAATTCAATGAAAACAGTAACTTAAAAACCATTTAAATGAAAAAATTATTTATACTAAAATTTTTAATAGTATGTTTATTATACTTAGATTTTTAATAGTAATAGCAATAAATTATAAAAAAAGGAGTTATCTCATGTTTTTTTTGCTCTAACCTTACTGGTTTGGTCTACGGATATGCATGCTTATGCATTTTTTTTTTATTAAATGTTTCTAATTATTTAATTTATTTATCTTTAACGCATTTTATGTTATTAATTTTATAAAAACATAACTTTATAAAATAGCAACACAAACAGCGCCACATATTTGTGTTAATATAAAACAACGAAGTTGTTTTATATTTGTTTTATTGTTGTTTTATAGCTTTTTACAATCACAATTTAATGCTCTTTAAAAATAACACATGTTTTATTGTTAGCATGAATATATTAAATAGTTTTCTACAACTAATTAAAGTGGTTTAAATATTGTAATATTTAAGTTTTTACTTTTACTTTTTTTAAAAAGTAATTAACCTTAAATATCATGTTAATTACTAAAAGTGATATCACAATATCGTATTGAATACTTTATTTGCTCATTACATCATAACTTGTTCATAACACTATAACTGCAACTTAAACTTTAAACTATAACTTAAGCTGTATATTATAAAAATACACAATTTTAAACTCCTTTAAATGAGAAAAATACAAGGTAATATTTAAATATGAGAGATATTATGTTAAAAAAATAACAATTTCGAAATGAATGTTTGAAAAAACAATTTTATACTACTCCCTCCTTACATCAGAGCAACGCCTGAGATAAAGGGTAATTTTTTTTTTGAATTTCATGTTTGAAATATTTTTATACATGTAAATATACTGGGTACTTGTAAAAACAACTTTTAAAAAAAACAAATATTTTGACACACCCTACTCAGTGTACTCGAATTTCATTAAAATTAAAATTTATATAAACACTTGAATCTTCCCCTAAAATAAAGCAGTCAATTAAACTTTTCTACAGCTTTAGGTTCAGACAAAATTCAAAAAATGTTCAAAATTTAAAAAATGTTCCCCATTACTCTTTAAACTATTTAAAAAGATTTTAACTAAATCTTTTTTTTCTGTCTGCTGTAAAATGGTATCTGTGGTTACAACTTTTAAAAACACAAAGAAAAAAAAACTAAGGAGATTGCTCAGAACCCTCTAGACGTTACAAAACTTTTCTTCATTTCCAGTAACTTTTTTAAATCAAAAGGTTTTGTCCTTGATTTATCCTAATAATACAACTATATACTCTAGACAAAAAATCACTTTACAATGACTTAAAACAAGCAGTTGATCATTAATATGATCTCTCTTCTGTGACAGCTTAAGTATGTCACAGAAGAAGTATCTGTTGAATTTTAACAAAGAAAAACTTCGTTGTTTACTGATCAATTGCAATATTGTTAATACTTCTATACTGATGAACCCTTTACACCCTACACGCACTTTACACTCTTTTGTATTACCTGCCATTAATTATATTTTACATATGGATATAATCATATATACACTTCATTGCAAAATTAGCACATGCCAAGGATGCCTCTCCTTAAGTGCTCACAGTTTTCTTTTTGATTCTATTCTATTTCTCTAAATATCTTCCATTAATCCTTGTACAAAATGCTGTTGTTGTACTTGGGCTGATTCTTCAAATGAAACCCACTACCTTCTAGACAAGATCGAAAATAAGTCTTCTATCAATCGCTTTCTTACTTTTTACTAGTTACTAATTTTCTGCTTTCTATTAACTTACAACTATAATAGCAGCATTGTTAAAAGTGAACTCATTTAAAAGAAAAAAGAAAAATAAAAGCTAGTTAATTTTCAATAAGTTTATTATGTTTTAATTATGGTAAATGATAAATAACTAAACACATTTTGTTTCTACCTTTGAAGTTTGTAACTATTGTTGGGGCCATGTCATAATACAAACATCCATAGTAAGCAGATGTTGTTTTACCAGTAAATCCATAAAGACACAGACAGTCATTATTTGTTACAGCTATTCCACTTGCAACATATCCATTATATGTTGAGTTTATATTCTGATAATTTGTACAAAAATTTACACATGACTTTTGATCAAAATAAACTAATTCTCCATATTCATAAATTAAATAGTTAGATGAACTCAATTTTGTTACTGAGCAATCAGTTGATGATTCTCCTAAAAAAAATGTAAATAAAAAACAAATATATAAAAATGAAGCAATACTAAAAAAAAAATATGATTTTAATAATGATAGATATGATATATGCAGGCTTCGGCAGGAATGACGGGCTATAGCCCGTGTCCGTCTCCGCACCCGTCTAAGTCAGTTTAGACGGGCGAAATAAAGCCTGTCTGAAACATAAGTTTTGTGTAAAAAAAAAGATGAATATTTTGATGTTTTTTTATTAAGATACTCTTTTAAAACTTCTCTCATGACATAATTTTAATATGGATAGCAAACTCCAACTTATAATTGTTTATATTTAAATATAAAAATTAAACAATTTAATCATTATTGTATAACATGATGTAGAAAATAATATAACTAAATCTTACAGTTTTTTAAACGACGATAACTGTTTGATATAATACCAAACAGTTACCATATTATGTTCAAAATTTAATAACTATTATATTAAATAGGGAAATATACACATGTGATGCACAAGAAGTATCATGTTGTTTTGGTTTTTCAATGTTTATAATAATAACGATAATAAACTAATTATCCATGTATTTCGCTTTTTTCCGATAAACTAGTTTGTCTTACTTTAAAGACATTTAAAGTGATATTTCCGCGTTAACTTCCGCATTAACTTCATGTTTTTTCTTAAAGAGACGGCAGTTTATTTAATATGCAATTATATAACTTGTTATTGAAAATGAAATATCTCATTAAAAATCAACAAACGTCTAATCAATTTTTGTAGATAATATAAATAGTGTTACTTTATAGTTATGAAGTTATTCAAGTTATCCAGTCATTCAAGTTTTTCAAGTTATTCAAGTTTTTCAGTAAAGATAGTAATGGCATCATCTGGTAGAAGAGTTAAATTAGCAACATTTTTGAGTTGGGGTAAAGATGGAGTCTGTGGAAAAGAAACTGAGGTGATGAATGGAACAATTTTTGTTGTGAAGATATGGTGTATGGTTTGTATAAAATATAAAAAAGAATTGCTTCGCGAGTTAAAAGATCTGGCAAAATCAAAAGCATTAGCATTTATAGAGGGCACTACGAACGTTAAAGCTAGCAACATACATACGCTTATATACATGCTTATATTGTATATAAAGTAACGGAAGCCCCGGTATCTTAAGAAATTATTAGTACTTCTAAATAAAAACTTATTTTATTAAAAGAAATTAAATTTCAAATTTTTTATTCACGTATCAGAATAACTATTTCCGATCAGGATAGGCATAGGTAAAGCAAAGTTATAAAAATATAAATAACAGTTTAAGTTTTTAATTTGCACGCCCAATAGAATGCAAGAGTATATAAATAATTGAATTTGAAAAATAACATAGTTATGTATCATATTACCAAGCTAATACCAAACAATTCTAAAACTGTCGAGCTCATTGATTCAAGGTTAAAAAAAAAAAAGATTTCAAACTATTTGCTGAATAATTAAAAAAATTAGATTTTGAAAATATTATGTAATATTTTTATTCACAAAGAATAAGAGAAACGAATGAACTAAAAAAGCACGATAAAAACCTGTATAATTTAATCGAATACTTGAATAAAACAATAATATATAAATATACTCAAAAAGACTTCGGTAAAAAAACACGTTAGGATGCTTGAATAAGGAAACGTGATGAAACGCCATGGTTGTTTCGAGGATTTTTCTTGTCGTTTTCACGTTCATTCGTTTGACTATATCTGCCAGATATTATCTGGAATAAAGATTAAAAAAAAAAACAGAAAAAAACTGAATAAAGTTCCTTCGAGTAAGAAATCTAAACAAAAGCAACCATAAAACAACTAACCCACGTGAAACGAAATTAGATCTGTGCATGTGAAAACTTTGAAAAACAATTATTGAAATCTTAGTTTTAAGTATTATCCAACTCATTTACTGCAGTGTTTTAATTACTTAAGTAATTAAGCATTTTTAACAGTTAATCGCTTTCTAACATATTATTTTAGTGCAATTCACAAAATGTTTAATATTCAATGACATTTTCATTCAAAAAGAAGAAGAGAAATTAACAAATTTAAAAAAAAAAAAGTTCAAACTTTAGAATTTTTTTAATTTAGAAGTTTAAAAAAGCCCGTGCAAGACCATCTAGACGGGCGGCCCTCATAGCCCGCCAAGTCTATTTAAGACGGGCTTTTCATAGCCCGTACGGCTTTTATTCCTGCCGAAGCCTGTATATGTATGTATAATAGCAAGGCTCCAATTAAGCGTATTTTGCGATCATGAATCGCAATTGCTTTTCACACCTTGCAACTAGTTTTTCCAACCAGTTAAATTACTAAAGTAATTTAAAGTTACTCAACTATTAAATTTACTTGATATACTCAAAGACTCACAAAAATTAGCCATATAAATGTATCTATTTATATAATATACGTCGTTAACACATAATATAAACTTCTAACTAAAAATTGTTTTAACAAGAAATCTTGAATAGAATATAAAAAACTCAATTTTTTTATATTTTATTTAAAGTAATATTATGATTAAAATTTTTTTATAAATACACAAGTTGTTTTAAGATTTTTATTTAAAAAGAAATTATTTAATTTTTTATTCATTTAAAAGGGAATCTATTTGAACAAAATAACTTTAGTCTTCTAAAATTCTCTTATTCAAATTATTTTGCAATTGAAATTTGAAATTGTTTAAAAAAAATAAAGTTCTAAATAAAAGTAAAAAAAAAGCTCTTTTTTCGAAACGACTCAACTATTATATTGCTATCCCATAGAGCAGGGTTAGATATTTTGAAATTGTTGAAGTGAGTTGTGATAATGAAAGCATGTTTTCTGACCGTCAATACCTTAACCTGTTGCTTCAAGTTTATTAGGCAAAAGTATTTTGATACTTGAACAAAAATTGGATGCAATTATTTGTAATGTCAAACAAGTAGAAAAAGCAGCTCAAAAAAGCATTAGCAATTTAAAAAACCTCACAAAAGAAATCAAACTTTCTGAGGCAACTGGAAAGCGTAGCGAAAGTTTAGAATGAATATAATCAACATTAATGACCATCAATCAACATCAATTGAATCAGAAAGAGCTTTTTCTGCTGTTGGTCTATTTATAGGAAAAACTTGTTTACGATTAAGTGACAAATTAAATGATTGTTTATGTTTTTTAAAACAATATTTTATTTCAAACAGTAATATAGCTTAGCGTGCCAAGAAAAATTTGTGTCAGAAACCGCTTGTTATTATATTAAAAATTATGCCGGGAAGTCCTGGGATAAATAAGTTACACACAGGGAATCCCGGGAGGCTAAATTTACGGGAAATGAGAAACCCTACTCTTAATAGCATTTACAAACAATTTGTTTACTAAAACAAAAATATAAATCAATTACAAATTATGTAAAAACATAATTGTTAATTTTGTATGCAACAAAAACATAACAAAAAAACACCAGTAAATGCATGTAATTTTAACTTACCTTACACAAATTTAAAATTAAAATGTAAGTTAAATAAGCATTGTTATTCAAAACTTTAAATGTAAAAATGTAACATTAAATATATTTTTGCATGTGTTTAAATCAATACTCATTAGCTAAAAGTTGACAAAAAAGAGAATAAAGTTTGACTACTTTTTCATTTTCTGCTGTGGAATTTATATGGTAAAGGTGTACAGGCTTGGTCAGGAAGCGGGAGCGATCGCTCTCGATTGTTGACCACATAAATAATATTTAGTTGCGAAAAAGCAGGCCAGATTTTTTAGTCGTTTTGAGTACATTTTAAAAAGAAAAAAAAAAAAGAAGCGACAAAGATTAATTGGACCGATGAGAGACAATTACAAAAAAAAAAAAAAAGGCAAATAAAATCTTTAAACGCAAAAAAACTTTAAGCTAAATAAATTACATTTAGAACAAATATTTTCGAAACATTGCTCTTTTATAATTTTTTTTTTTTAAATTAAGCGATGTTTTTTATATGAAGTAACAACTTAAGATTGTTTAAAAGAACAACTTAAGATTGTTTACTTTATTTAACTAAGTTTGCAAGTTTTAGTTTTACTTAAGCTAATTTATTTTATAAATAAAAAAGTTAATTTTTTTAATACCTATTTTATGTTTCGCGTAGTTTGAAAAGTTTAACATATTTGAAGCGATTCTTCTTAGTAAGATAAACAAATGAAATAATTAAATCATTGAATTACTATAGGAATTAAACTATCAAGATAGAAACCAACTAAATAGGTTAAAAATACTTAATGACCAGGAAGCGAAACTGCTTCACAATATCGCTGATGATGTTTAGTGAGTGGGCTTTTTAATTTTAATTAGTATTTAAAGCAGAAAAAAGTATAACGAGTTTTAAGAATGGCAACTTAAGCGAAAATAATTAGAGTTAGTAAACCAATATCTAGAAACTTTTCTTTATATCTAATTATTTGCTATATATATTTGTGTTCTGTCGTGACCTCAGGCGCAATGCTTGTTCATCCGCGAGTTACTTTGTATGCGTTGTTTGTGTTTAGTAACCAGAAACTTCTTATATGTTTGTTACATAATTAGTTTTATTAACTTTAACGATTATAACTTCATTGAAAACGCAATTATTTTTGTAAGTCTTTGTTCAAATTATAAAAATTGTTTCAAAAGATACATTACGATAAAAAACAAATACACAAAATTACATTTACATAAAAAATACAATCTCTTTTAAAATAAAAAATAAGAATATACTAATAATATCTATGATTTATAATAAACTTTTAAAACTTTAACAATTTAATTAATATATATTTAAAATTTATTTTCGTAAACAAATACTATATATTCTCAAAACAATGATAGAAATCTCAAAACATAACAAATCGTGAATAATACAATTTCTAAAACATTTTAACAGAATACTCTAGAACTTTATTTTGCTTAATCAGTGTATTTTTTGAACCAATAGAATTAGTTTGTTTGTTAATTTGGCAGGTTTTTAGTGTTTGCAAATATTCTTTTTATTCTTTCGCACAA